CTGGACTTCAAGGATGTTTTGCTGCGACCCAAGCGAAGCAGTCTCAAGAGCCGATCGGAGGTGGGGCCGTTCGAAAGCCGCGTGGGGGGGTGATTTCTTGGGAGGAGGGGGGAGAGATTGGGGCGCTGTCAGCGTTCGACTTTGGTGGTCACCCTCCCTCGAGGCCGGGGGGCGGCACCTGGACCCTGTCCGAGCCGGCTAGCGCCCAAAGGAGCCTGGCTCAGGCCTAGCATTCTCACCCTACTCGACCAGGGTGGCCGAGGAAGGCGACTTTGAAGTGGAAGAAGGAGAGCAAGGAGCCAGGACTTGGCCAGGGGATTTGCCACCGGGCTGCGGGCGAGGAGCGGGAGATCGGTGGAATCCGAACCGAGGGGCACAAACAAGCCGGGGACCCTGGCGACATTGGCGGAGTGCCAGTGTCGAGCGCTGCTGCTTTCCATGTGCCCTGCGGCACTGCGCTTTCTTTACGCTGGGGAAAAATAGGGAGCCTCGCTGGGAGAAAGTTCGGGGGTCACTTCTGGAGTCAGGTGGCCTTACTGGGAGGGAGGCGTGGGGACCCGTTCCGCGTGTCAGCCCCAGGCCGGTCCGACAGCAGACTGCCACGGGGTTGTGGGGGTCGTGGGGACAGTAGCGGAACTGGGAGCGGCGTGGTGCCCTTTCTGCCTGGAGGAGATCCAGCCAGAGGAACAGGTGGAGAAGGCCCTGAAAATAGCCGGGAGAGAGGGGAGGGATCCCCCTGCTGGGAAGGAGAAAGGGCAAACCCGAAGGGACCTTCTAGGACTGGGAGGAGCAGTGTCGACCGACCTGCAGAAGTGTGTGCTGGTGCCCGGCGAGAGACCGAGAGGAAAGGGAGGAAATTGGACTTATCTGCCGCCGCAGCAATAAACAGCTGGCGGCGGAGCCAGCGCGCTGGGCTCCACTGCCGCCTCCACCAGCAAGCCCTTAAATAACCCCTTGGCACCAGTGCCCCGCGTGCCTGCAGGGGCTAGTGGTGCCTCGTGCTGCTAGCGCAGGGCCTGCTTGAGTTAGGCAAGTCGCGCTACAGTCACAGACCAGAACCAAGCCAGCTCCTCTTATCAGTGGGGTTGGCAGGCTGGAGCCTGGGGATAGGAAGGAGAAGGAATGATTAACCCATTGCACCACTTTTAAAAATAGAGTTGTGCCGCTCCATTAGCACCTGGCAGGGCTTGAGTACAACCATGATGCTGCACGACTCTACTTTCAAACACTTTTTAATGTGAATTGGGTGACGGTGTGCGAGCAGATCCGTTTTTCCATCCAACATTTTCATACACGTTTTCATCATGTTCCCTGCTACTCTCCCCGCAGGATAATATCACTACACTCATCTCACCACCTGTGTTTCCCTGTTGGGGCTCTTCTTCCTTTCTTCCTCCTTCCTGGTTTCTGAACCTGGACCCAGCTGCCCTCTTGATCTCCCGTGGTGGATTATTCTAAGGAGTTATTGTTCACTTGTAGATCTGCCTGTTTGGCTGAACATGGTGCCATGGTGGTGGTGAGTTCAGTTCCAGGCTGGAAGGGTGACGGAGGGCCACGGCATACTCTTGGAGGAAAAAGAAACAGTTTGGGTGGTAGGCTGGGACCTCCCGAAAAATAATCTGTAGCTAGCACTCAAGGCCAGACTAAAGGAGGCATGGGCCAGTCAACTCTTACCATGTTTGCCAGAGTAGAACTGTGCTTCTTAGGGTTGGCAGTGCCTGATCTTCTAGAAGTAGTTCACCAGGCTTTTCTTGCTGCCTCTGGTTGGGTTCAAACCATCAGCTCTTTAGTTAGTCACCCACTGCTAAGCGTTTGGGGCCACTCAGACTAAGTCACGGGGACTCTGGGTGACTTAATTTGATGCCCTCAAATGGACACTCTTAAGTATTGGCTCAATGTGTATTTCTCTCACTGTCATTGAGTCGATGCTGACCATATGGACCCGTAGAACAGGACAGAACTGCCCCTGTGAGTTTCCGAGACTGCAATTATTTACGGGAGTCAAAAGCCTGGGAGAAGCTGGTGGTTTCAAACCACAGACCTTGAGGATCACAGGCCATTGTTCAAACCACTCCACCACCAGGGCTCTTCAATACTTATTTAGTAGAGAGAACTTTAGTCAAAGTGACATATTGAAAACAAGGATTTCTTATATATATATATATAATTTTTTTTTCAGTACCAGGCAGTATCTTGAGAGAACATAAAAAAGCAAACAAACAAAAACAGTTGCTATTGAGTTGATGGCAACCCACAGTGACCAAGCCCATGTGTCTGAGAGTACCCTGGCACCGGGTTTTTTTCAGAGATTGCTTGTTTTGTTTTATTTTGCTTCCGAAGTAGGACAGCAGGCCTTCCCTCTGAAGTGCCTCTGGTTGGTCTTGAACCACCAAACTTTTGGCTAGCAGCCAAATTTGTTGACTGTTTGCAACCCCCAGGGAAAGCCTGGAGAGAGTTGACATAACATTTACGTAGTTTGGAATTTTTTTTCCCGGATTGATTGGTTCTTTCCCCGTTTTTTTTTCTTTGGTTTTCTTATTTTGGGTTTGTTTGCGGTTTTTATATCGGTGGCCTGGCTGGCGATTGCACCTTACCGTCTTCACATACTGCAGTAAGTGCTCTGGGCCCTGGAGAAACGTTTTCCCATTCCCACTCTGGTGGGAGTTTGCCCACTAGGTGCCGGCGAACCTGAGTGCACGGGCAGTGCCGCTCTCGTGAGGGTGAAGCTTCCTGGTGCACCACTCCCATGGTGGGATGCAGCTCCCTAGTCAACGCCTGTCATCATATCTGACTTTGCCTCCCTCTACAGGGTCAGCGATCTAGCCAAGCTTTTTTAATCCCTTCTGGTTTGCTTGTGGATACGGATATTTCTCTCTCCCTCCCCTTCTTCCTTTCTCTTTCCTTCCTTCCTTTCTCCTCTCTGCCTCTCCCTCCCCCTCTCTCCCCCCTCCTCTCTTTTCTCCCTCTCTCTTTCTCTTTTCTCCTTTTGTAGCCACTCGGGCCAGGGTGCAGAACTGACGGGGAAGAAGGAAGTTGGAAGGTCTCAAGGCTGTGACCGTTCTCCTCCCCCACCCCCATCCCACCCCCCTTTCGCATGTGGAGTATGACCCACACCGGGAAAACATCACACAACATAGGGCCATTGCCCATCTCATCAGAACAGTGACAGTACCTCAGTAAGCAGCACCAGCTGCCACCATGTAGCCCTTTCTTTTCTTTTCTTTTTTTAAAAGAACTTTCCCCTCCTGCCCTCATTCCTTCCCTGAAATCTCTTGGAAGCGGATAAAAAGTTTCATTCCACAATCTGATGGAAGTGTAACATGTGTGTCCCTGGCAGGAAGAAGCCCCAGTAGTGCATCAGTGAAGCAGGCAAGTGCTCTCGATTGCTAACTGAAAAGCTCTTGGCTCTAACACACCCAGTGGCTTGGGGCCAACAGCCTGGCCAGGTGCTGCCAGCAAACTGAAACCAAGTTCACTGCCATCGAGTCAATTCTGGCTCATCCCGTAGCACCCTGGAAAGCCCCTGGGGCAGCTCTGCTCTCTCCCCTGGGGTCACTACATACGTGTCAGGATAGATGCAGGGACACCCCACAATGACATCTCTGCCAGGAGAAGAAGTTGGATGCGGATCTGAATCTAGAGTCTGTGACCAGCATTTACCTACCGGTCATTCATTGGCGTCAGCAGAGTGGAGTGGACTTGAGTAGAGAGAGAGAGGTGAGAGGGCCTTCCACCTGACTGCTGAGTCTGGCTGGGAGGGGACAGTCTGGATTGTTGACAGGCTTTGACACTGGGCAGTTTTGCTTGCGGCATGGAGAACAGAAAACAGAACCTGAAAGCTCAGAACTTTTAGGTCTTGTAGGGGTGATCACGAAGCTGTAAATAAAAATCTGAGGGCAATTTCATCAGAGTATTAGAGCTGAGAGTGTAATACACCCAGGCAGGCATGACCTCGGTGCACCAGGGGGGCCATCTCTCAACTGCTCATGCTCTGCTTAATGAACCATCTTCCCATGAGCCCATGGTACTGGGCAGGACCCAGGGCTGCAGATACTGCTGCCCCCGGGAGCGTTCCCTGTAGTACAGTGATCATAGAAGAGCCCAGCCTCATGGGACTGTATGTGCTGCTGGATTCGCACTTGCTGTTGACGGGCTCAGACATAAGAACAATGGCAAGGCTGGCACAGGGCGTGTTATACATAGGGTGGCTGTGAGTTCAAACTAACTCAAAGGCATCAAACACCAAGGCCACAAAAGGAACCCTGGTGGCACTGTGAGTTAAGTATCGGGATGCTAACTGCAAGGTCTGTGGTTCAAACCAAGAAAGATGAGCTCCCATAAAGATTGAGTCTCAGAAACCCTTGTCTATAGCACTGAAAGGTATTGGAATCAACTTGATGGTAGTGAGTTTGGTTTGGGCTTTGGACTGCAAAGATGACAAACTTTGTCCCCACCCTCAGAAAGGCCATCTTCAGGTGTGACAGGTAAGGGTCAGTTTGCGCAACAAAAGAATTACTTTAATCAGGAGCCTAGATGGCATAGTGTTTGTGAGTCGGACTGCTAACCACAAGGTCAGCAGTTCAAAACCACCAGCTACTACACAGGAGAAACACGGGCTTTCCACTCCCGTAAAGAGTTACAGTCTTAGAAACTCACGAGGGCCAGTCGACTGACCCTGCCCTACAGGGTTGCTATGAGTCAGAGTTGACCCGAGGGCACCAAGTTTGTTCGTTTTTATACTCAACCCAGTTGCTGATGAATCAGTCCTGACCCAGTGACAACCATGTGCGTGTCAGCGCAGAACTGTGCCTCATAGGGTATTCAACGACTGTGGTCTTTTGGAAGTAAATTGGCAGGCCTTTCTTCTGAGGCACCTTTGGGCCAACAGCTGAACTTGTTAGTTGCATGACCCAGGGACATCATATCATCCTTAGACCAAGAAGAAGAAGGAGAAGAAGAAGGGCCCTGTTATCTGACCTCTCCCATCTTCTCTGCGCAGGGTCTGCAGGGCTGTGTTTTTCCCCCCAACTATGTCTGGGTAATCAGGATCTTGGATGTCC